TTTTGACGTGGAGTCTCACTCTGTCACCCAGGCTGGAGTGCAGTGGCACACTGTCGGCTCACTGCAACTCGGCCGTCCGGGTTCAAGCAATTCTCTTGCCTCAGCCTCCCAAATAGCTGGGATTACAGATGTGCATGACCATGTCCAGCCAATTTTTGTATTTTTAGTAGAGACTAAACTTTCTGGTTTGTTAAAGCCTTGACAAAGAAGTTTTTTATCCGCTTTAATTTAGAAGGTATAATTTAGTATCTTTTAAGGGTGAAACATAATACTTTTGAGTTAGACTATTCACAATCTGTTAAGATAAATAATATTAAAGTTGTAATTTTCTATCAAAAAAATTAACCTAGAAAGGAGAAGGTAGATTATAAATTCAAAGAAAAAGAGTACTAAAAGTTTTAAATTTGTAGTTAAGAACTAGAAAGAATTCTTAACCATAATTATAGTTTTCTTGAAATGTCAACATGTCAAACATCAAAATGGAATGCTTCTGGCTAGATGATTCTGTCTGGCATTTAAGGAAATGGAAAACAAGAAAATGGTTAGGTCAGATTTCTGCTAAATTAAACTACTGAATGCACTTAAGAAGGTAAAAAAGTTATTGAGGATCACAAGAGCTGAACAAAGATGTATTGCTGACTTGAAGACAAAAGCCAAAAAACTAATACTCTCTTTTTGGTGCTCCCTAAGCCCAGAAACATACATCATGAAATCTGATAGGCACAATGGCAGAAGGGTACATTTTAAAATGTGTAAATACAAAATACACAAGTATTGGATATTGAATAATTGGTTTTGTAACTAAATAACAAGGTAATACAGAGTCATGGCAGGAGGGTACATTTTAAAACATCTAAATACAAAATATACAAGTATTGGATACAGAATAATTGGCTTTGTACCTACATGACAAGGTAATACATAGCCATATTTCTGAGTGAACAGGGAAATTTTCAAAAGCTATTGCCCAACAGGAAATAATAAATTTCACATTTCAGAATCATAAACTGGCTGGACATGGTGGCTCACACCTGTAGTCCCAGCACTTTGGGAGGTCAAGGTGGGAGGATCGCTTCAGCCCAGGAGTTTGAGACCAGCCTGGGCAACAGAGTGAGACCCATCTCAATTAAAAAAGAAAAAACAACATATATCTGTATATGTATTTCTTAAAAAGTATCACAAATCAATTGCTTTGTAAAATCAATATATAAGATCAAAATCACTTTACTTATTATTTGTGGAACTGTTCATATCAGAATAACAGTTTTCAGTTTTTAGAATCAAGGATCCTACCCCCCTTATTTTTGAGACAGAGTCTTACTCTGTCACTCAGACTGGGGTACAGTGGTGTGATCATAGCTCACTGCAGCCTTGACCTCCCAGGCTCAAGTGATCCTCCCACCTCAGCCTTCCAAGCAGCTGGGACCACAGGTGTGCGCAACTACATCTGGCTAATTTTTAATTTTTTTATAGAGCCAGGGTCTCCTTATGTTGTTCAGGCTCAAAGGTTACCTTTTGGATACCAGATTTAATGTTCTGATTAGCTGAAGCCCATGATTGTTATCTCAGCTTATTGCCTTTGTACAAACCCTTACTACAGAGAGGACTGTATGCAATGCTGGGTTTCATTAAGGCACAAAGGTCTTTGGTAAATCTTTAAGTTAGTTTTTGTTGAATTAACAGAAAGAAGATTGCCAAAAAGTATCTGTTAAAGCTTCCTGGTTGACCTGTCAAAAAGTGCTGCTTAGGTATAAGCATTACCCTGGAGGTACCAAGACTCCATAGCAATACTGTACAATAGAACTATCTGTGATGAAGGAAATGTTCTAAACCTGTGCTGTCCAATACAGTAGCTATCAGCCACATGTGGTATTGAGCATTTGAAAGGTGGCTAGTGCAATGGAGCAACCAAATTTTAATTTAATATTAATTTATTAAAATTGAAATGTAAGTAGTTACATATGGCTATTTACTACTGTACTAGATAGTACAGCTCTATACAGTACCAGAAAATGGCATTTTTATACAAACCTTTCCTAGTTATGCACAGTTCAGGGATACAAGAGACCAATCAATAAGTCAGAGAATACTTTTGCAATTTGTAAAATTAATAAAGGCTAGGCACAGTGGCTTATGCCAGTAATCTCAGCACTTTGGGGGGCCAAGGTAGGCGGATCACTTGAGGTCAGGAGTACAAGACCAGCCTGGCCAACACAGTGAAATCCCGTCTCTGCTAAAAATACAAAAATTAGCTGGGTGTGGTGTTGGGCACCTGTATCCCCAGCTACTTGGGAGGCTGAGGCAGGAGAATCACTTGAACCTGGGAGACGGAGGTTTCAGTGAGCCGAGATTGCACCACTGCACTCCATCCTGGGCAACGGAGTGAGACTCTGTCACAAAAAAAAATTAAGAAAGAAAAATTGTAGAAAGTTACTAGAAAGCTCCCTCGCTTTCTGTATATATAAGAAATAAATGATTGTAATCCCTTAATGGAATTACGTGGACTCAACTCACCATTTCTTAAATGGACTGCAATAAACTTACCCAAATATAGAGTATTGCTTCTATTTGTATAGAATTTCTTCAACATACTTTACTGTGAGGAATTTGCTTTCTAGGGTATAAATAATTGAAGAAGCAATGGGGATGACTTCAGAATACATTTCCTCCTGAGTCTCTTCTCTGGATAGACATGCTTGGATACACACAGTTACCATTTTCCTCAGTACCTCCTTAAGTAGGTGACATCCAGCGTTAGAGTACAGGTGTGCCCACTTAAGAGCCCCAGACCACAGAGCACAGATTTTCCACACAGCCTGGAGATCATGTAGCCTGCCTCATGTATCCTAATATTCAGTTTGAGAAAATATGATACTCATATTCAGTTCTGTGCTTAGAACTATGTAGTTTATTTAAGTATTGTTATCCAGAGGATTCTTTTTTTTAACTGAAGTATTTATAATTCCAGAGCTTAGTATGAATTAGGAAGAAAAAACATGACACATGAAATGTGTAGTAACCAAAATGGGGAAAATATATTTTCCCCATCATGACTAAATTACCAAAGTAATTTTCTTTTCTTTTTTTTTTTTTTTGAGACAGGGTCTTACTTTGTCACCCAGGCTGAAGTGCAGTGGCACAATCCTGGCACAGTCTTGGCTCCCTGTAACCTCCGCCTCCCAGGCTCAAGCAATCCTTTTGTCTCAGGTCCCCAAGTAGCTGGGATTACAGGCACGTGGGCCTCCACACCCATTTCATTTTTGTATATTTTGTAGAGATGGAGTTTCACCATGTTGCCAAGGCTGGTCTTGAACTCCTGAGTTCAAGCACTTTGCCCGCCTTGATCTCCAAAAGTACTGGGATTACAGGTGTGAGTCACTGTGCTTGATCACAAAGGTAACTTTCTATTGCTTTCTGTGAACCCCCTTTTAATCACTTCCAAAGGAGTCATTACACATTAAACAGTCACCCACCATTGAGGAGGTTAAGAATAGTGTCTGGATAGATGAGGGCCTAGTTGTATGAAAATAAAGTGTGTAGTAGACTCTGAAAGCCAAAGAAGTTGAAATCTCTGTTCTAGAAGTTCATTGAAGAGGCAGAATGAGAATTAGTTCTTTGAGGATGGTAGGTGTAACATGTTTTAACAAGGTGGCTGAACTACTCAAAAGAACACAGCCTTACTAGAAGTTGAACACATTCACTAATAATCCTGCTGATGTTCCTAGTTCTAGGTTGTTTGATGGGTCTTAAAACTTTAAATAGCCCTGCAAAGGGATGTGGTAAATCCGCATGACCCCTCTCTGCTGTGACAGCTTGGTCCTGTCCAAATACATCTTAGTCACCACTTTGGCTATTTTAGGCCCATGTCTGATTTTGCGGCCCTGGGAGAAGTACAACATGTGTTTCTTGTTATGGGGCAAGCCAAGGCCCTCTGGTGAAATGTGTGTACTTGGGCAATGAAAGGTTCAACCCCATACAGTGTAATGTCACATGAGGCCAAAGAAGCATTAGGTTTAGAAGGACTTTTTAGAAGAGTTGAGAACAAAGTATAATAATAGTTTCTTTGGGGAGGAAACTAACTTCACAAACAGTTGACCAAATTTCACTCTGAATAATAAAAGAGTTTTTTATTTGCAGGCTACACAGCTTTAGGTGGATGTCAAGGCAAAAAGAATAAAAGTCTTGGAAACTTCTTTGGGTATCATCTCAATAATGGCTTATCATTAATAAGTATTTTGGCCAAGGATTTTTAAAGCAAATGGAGAGGGGCCAGTTTGAAACTTTGACTGCAAAATCAAAGAGGAGAAAGGCTAAAATGGGAATAATCATCACCAACAAAGATATGTTAGTATCTCCCTTGTTCTATAGAAGCACTGTTGAATAGAACCTTCTGTAATGATGGAAATGTCCTACATCTGTGCTGTCCAATATAGTAGCGACTAGCCAAATGTGGTTATTGAGCACTTGAAATGTGCTAGTGTGACTAGGAAACTGACCTTTTAATTTTATTTAGTTTTAATTAATTCACATTTAAATAGCTGCATGTGGCTAGTGGGTACCATGTTAAAAGTTTCAGCTCTATAGGATAATATTGTGGCCTAATAGTTTACTCACAATTCATATAAATGTTTTTATAAGTTTGGAGTTATACATAACAATTTACTAACTTCAGGGGTTGAATAATAAATTAATAGTATTATTAGAATTTATAACATATCTGAAAATACTTAAGAAGAAGTTTTATAGTTGGCAGGAGTCATGTGACTAAGGAAGACTACTATCCAATCAATGACTTAGAGAACAGTTAACATTTTTCAGTATCAAAAGTAAGGCAAACATAAATTAATTTTAAGAAGTGAGAATACTCAATTTTCCTTTGTTACTCTGGGGAATTAGATGGGGGACGCTCTCTCATAGCATTTACTCTCTGGGCTGAAAAGACTCCATTGTTTTATGTTTGGTCTTTTTCAGAACCTTTTAAAGTCAAATGGACTTCCCATATGTGGTGATTACCAGTTTTTTTTTCTTTTTTTTTTTTTTGGTGAGGCGGAGGATAGGGAGAGTGGTAAGAGGGAGAAAGACACCTAGGAAGAATATAGAAGGTGAGAAAAGTGATCTGAGCTGAAAATATTTTCTAGTAGATCAAGGTACTGAAAGATTTTATTTACTGCTTTCTGATAGTTGTTCAATCCTAGTTCCAATTCTAATTCAAAGTTACTTCCATTGAACTAAACACACATTTGTCAAAATATTTAAGTCTGAAAAAACATGGTCTAGATTCATATTCAATAGTAATGTAATTATATCTCTGTTATAAATTTAAGACAAATCCAAAATATAACTATTTATTATAATTTATTGTTTAGACTCATACTGACATAGTACCTTAAATAACTTAAAAAGCCAAAATCTTATTGAAGTGATGATAATTTTTTAGAAATGAGAATTTAGCCATAACAAAAACAATGGCTAACATTAGTACGTATTTATGGGCACCAAAACAGAATAAAAATATTATCATTAACTATATCTGTTTGGCTTTTTTGCTGATTTGTTTAATTTACCTTTAGTTTCCTCCTTGCATTGAACTTCCTCAGCTGCTCTACTGTTTCTGGAAGATGAATCTTGTAGGCATAACGATCCCGTTCCTATGTAAGATGAAAGACAATGAACATATATAACCATTAAAAAAGTGCAGAAACTTCATCTAAAACAAATAATAAAGCTAAAATTCTTAAATATAAAACTTGGATTGAATTTTAGATTGCAGATTTTATTCCATGATACTGGTAAGCAATCTGAAATGAGAGACATTAAGGTTAAACTGATAGTAATAAAATAATATTTAATTTTCAGCAATAAAGGGCTGAAATAATAGGTCACATAAATTTCATATATATGGCTATGCGGCTAAAATAACAAATCGTAATGATTATAAAGGCACCGTTAATTTTCTTTTTTTTTTGAGACAAGGTTTCACTCTGTTGCCCGGGCTCGAGTGCAGTGGCACAATCATACCTCACTGCAGCCTCGAACTCCTGGGCTCAAAGTGATCCTCCCACCTTAGCCTCCTGAATAGTTGGGATATAAGTGCACCATGCCTGGCTAATTTTTTTTTTAAATAGAGAAGGAGTATTGCTATGTTGCCTAGGTTGGTCTCAAATTCCTGAGCTCAAGCCATCCTTCCGTCTTGGCCTCTCAGACTGCTGGGATTACAAGTATGAGCCACTGTGCCTGGCCCCAGCTTACCTTTGATATGATTGGTCAGGTAAAACAAGTATTTAAAAAATCAATTCCACAACGAATTCAGCATTCTATACTGTTATGGACTAAAGAAATTACAGACTCTTCTAACTAGGACAAACTTTTGTTTTTTTTTTTTTTGGAGACAGGGTCTTCCTCTGTTGCCCAGGCTGGAGTGTAGTGATCTGATCATAGCTCACTGCAAGCCAGGTGTGGTGGCTCCCCTGTAATCCCAGCACTTTAGGAAGCTGAGGCAGGAGGATCGTTGGAGCCTGGGAGGTTGAGGCTGTGGTAAGGTAGGATCGCGCCACTGCACTGCAGCTTGGGTGACAGTGTGAGACCCTGTCTCAAAAATAAATGAATCCCCCATTATTTATTTATATATTTTTAGAGACAAGGTCTCATTCTGTCACCCAGGCTGGAGTGCAGTGGTGAGATCCTGGCTCACCACAGCCTTGACCTCCCAGGCTCAGGCAATTCTTCCATTTCAGCCTCCCAAGTAGTTGGGACTATAGGCATGTGCCACCATGCCTGGCTAATTTTTATATTTTTTGTAGAGACAGGGTTTCACCATGTTGCCCAGGCTGGTCTTGAACTCCTGGACTCAAGCGGGGTCCTCCCACCTTGGCTTCCCAAAGTGCTGGGATTGCAGGTGTGAGCCACCGTGCCTGGCCCATCATGTATATTTTAAACCTCTTCTTACTCTTCTCCCCACTTCGGTCCTACTCTAATTTGCCAATGTATCGTGGGGATTCATATGCTATAAGTACTCATTAATTTCATAAATATTTTGAGAGCTGATTATATGCCATGTATTGTCCTATGCATTTGGCATACACAAGTAAAACCAACGAAGATTCCAGCCCTCATGTAAATCATATTCTAGGGCAACAAGATGAGAAAACACAAAAAAGGTAAATTATAGAGTTATGTCAAAAGTACTATGGAATAAGGCAAAAAAGCAAATCAGGGTAAGAGGGATCGGGTACACTGAAATTTAAAACAGGGTGAGTATGGTGGCTAATGCCTGTAATCCCAGCACTTTGGGATGCTGTCGTGGGAGGATCATTTGAGGCCAGGAGTTCAAGATCTAGTGAGCACCTGTCCCAGCTACTCGGGAGGCAGAGGTTTGCTTCAACCCATGAGGTTAGGGCTGCAGTGAGCCACAACTGCCACTGCACTCCAGCCTGGGCAACAGAGCATGACCCCATCTCTAAAAACAAAAACAAAAACAAAATTGGGTGGTCAGAGTAGGCCCAATTGAGGAAGTGACATTTAGAAGAGGCAAGGGAGTGGTCTAGGCAGAGAAAATAACCAATGCAAAGGCCCAAGGGAGAGAGTATGTCTGGAATTTTCAAGAAGTAGCCAGGAGACCAATGTGTGTGAAGTGATGTGAGGGGCTCAAGGAGAATAGTGGATGAGATCAGAGAGATGATAAGGCTGGGGTAGGTCATGCGAGCTTTTGGCTTTTATTCTGAGTAGGAGAGGAAGCCAGTGGAGAGTCTTGAGCTAGAGTGACATGCTCTGACTTTATTTTTACAGATTCTGGTATTACATAAGGAGTTTTGCTATATGGATATATTGCATAATAGTGAGGTTTGGGCTTCTGTACCCATCACCCAAATAGTGAACACTGTATTCAATAGGTGATTTTAATTTTTTTCCCTCTCTTTTATTCAAGATAGTACAAGATGTCCAAGTCAGAGCAATTAGGAAACTAATAGGCAAATTTTCAACCTTCAACTTTAAAAAAACATTAGTGGTTGTGCTGAGAATAGACTGGAAGATGAGGGTTAAAAAAAAGTGGGAAGACTAGTTAGGAGGCTTTTGTAGTAATCCAGGTGAAAGATGATGGTGGATGAAACCAGTTGGAAATAATAAAAAGGGTGAAAGAGAGAGAGAGAGACTCTGAATATATGTGCTTTTGTTTTCTCTAAAAAGCTTTACTGAGGTATAATTACATACAATAAACTGTACATAAAACCATTACCATGATCAAGATAATGAACACATCTATCATGCTCAAAGGCAACTTCATATCCTTTTGTAGACCCCAACCGCATCCCCAGTCAGCCACTGATCTACTTCCTATCACTTAGTTTGCATTTTCTAGAATTTTATATAAATTGAATCATATAGTATGTACTCATTATTGTCCAGCTTCTTTCACATACCATAATGATTTTGAATCTTTTCACATTGTTGCACGTATCACTAGTTAATTCCTTTTTAATGCTGAGTGGTATTCCATTGTATACATGTACCATAATTTGTTTATCCTTTCACCTGCTGATGGACCGAGTGGTTTCCATTTTTTGGCTACTACACATAAAGTTGCTGTGAACATTAATATCTTTGTATGAAGATGTGTTTAATTTTTCTTAGGTAAATACTAAGGAGTAGAATGGCTGGGCTATATGATAGGAGTAGGTTTAACTTTTAAGAAACTGCCAAACTGTTTTCCAAAGTGGTTGTATCATTTCACATTCCTACTAACAGTGTATGAGTTCCTGTTGTTCTATATTCTTGCCAATACTTGGTATGGTCAGTCTTTTTGATTTTAGCCACTCTAATACATGTGTACAGGTATCTTATTGTGGTATTAATTTGCATTTCCCTAATGACTAATGATAAACATCTTTGCCTGTGCTTATTTGCCATCTATATATCTTCTTAGTTGAAGTGTCTTTTCAAATCTTTTCTCATTTTGAATTGGTTTGTATGCTGTCATTATTGAGTTTGAGAATTCTTTACATATTGCAAATATGTGCCTTATCAGATATATTCTTTGCAAATGTTTACTCCCAGTTTGTGGCTTCTTTCTTCATTCTCTTAACAGTGTCTTTCAAAGAACAGAAGTTCTCAATTCTGCAGATAGAGAAAACATTTTTCTGACAGACTGGATGTGAGGTGTGAGAGAAAGAGGAGTAAAGGACAACACTAGGGTTTTCAGTGTAAGCACCAACTGAAATGGGGAAGACTGGGACAGGCAGCCTGAAGGATGCATGTCAGGCCTGGATTCTACAGCAACAGATAGGCCCTGGAGCTTATTTTTAAAAACATTCCCTATTCGACAGAACAAACACTTTTCCTCAAAGTCTAGTGTTTTAGTCAGAGTTTTAACAAGGAAATTGATGATTCAAAGGTGAAATATCGAGATAGATAGAATATGCATATTTCACCTTATGGGTCTGCTAATTACACTAAAAACTCTGGATACGATATATAAAGCAATGAACAGAAGACTCTGAAAAGTGGAGAAAAGAAAGTAGGGATCCCAGGACTTGGGGTATTGCTGGATTTTTTTTTTTTTCCTAACATAGTTCGGCTGGGTGTGAGACCAGCCTGTGACCTGGAAACTCCAAGAACTAGGAGTGTAGACAAAATAAGCCCCTGCAAAAGGCCACTTTCTTTAGCCAAAGGAATGAGCAGATGTCCCTGCAGGATAGACCCTTTCTGTGTCTTTGTGTTATATTAGTAACACTTGACAAATCAATTTTATAGCCTGGCTATGTCATTTTCTTTCCAACAGATTGGGAAGTTTATTACATATCTGACTGTGAACTCTATTTCCAGTGAACACCTTTCCTGCTCACTATTCACTAAGGTGATGTGGAAAGAGAGGTAAGGAGAGAGTCAAAATGTATATATTTTTAAAAATAAAATTATGCTTCAATTATGATATCGATTATTTTCTAAGCTAGTAAAATCGCAAGATTAAAAAAAGTCTGTTAAGGTATCTCTTGTCTTTTTTTTTTTTTTTTTTTTTTTTTTTTTTTTTTTTTTAAGACAGAGACTCACTGTTGTCACCCATGCTGGAGTGCAGTGGTATGATCTTGGCTCACTGCAACCTTTGCCTTCCTGGTTCAAGCTATTCTTGGGCCTCAGCCTCCTGAGTAGCTGAGATTACAGGTGTGGGCTATCACACTCAGCTAATTTTTGTATTTTTAGTAGAGATGGGGTTTTACCATGTTGGCCAGGCTGTTTTATCTGGATTAAATAGTACCTCCTGACACTAATGATAATGTAATATTAATTTAGAGATTCATATTTAAATTTCAGCCATTCTAAAATAATACCTCTTACATCCACAGTAATGATTTACAAATACACACAGACAAGTATTGTAATATAACATAAGCCTGCTCTTACAGCTAGATAACATTCTAATTAAGTTTTTCCATATTCAGATGACACATAAGCAGTGAAGTTAAACTGTTGTTTAGACATGGCATGTGATACTCAGCTTAAAGAGCCATATTAAACTTTTCATTTAAGTTACTAACATTTTTTGTCTTCCTCGTGCTAAAAATTTATTATGTATTAAGCTCAGATTACTTAGAACAAGAACTATAATCACTGGCAGGAACAAAGGTTTCCAAAAATAAATATGTTATTAGCCAAG